ACCCCACCCCCTTCCCCTTCTCCAAACCTTGTATAGTCATCTTAACGCGATTTTATCTAGATAAAATATATTATCTCACAAGATATTTATACATCGCAATGTTTTAACTTATTATTAGCGGAAAAAGTACTACGTTGTGTTTCGTATCGATCTATGCACATTTCTTTTTCTTTTTTTAAACAATTATGTGTGTCAGTTTTAAGTGAAAGTAGATTGTAAGTACAGATAAGCAGCACGAACATGAGAAAAATGTCAGTCTGACTGTCTTTTACTACGTTTAGGTACATATAGGTCAGAGAAAATACAATAATAATATTACATTATAATATTTCATTATACAGTGTTATTTCATTATTTTCATTTACAGTAAAGATAATAGAGATTTTAAATCACACCCCCACTATTATGTTTGTTCATATAAACGATGTTATATTACTTAATCCAAATTGAAACAAACATTATATGTGTAGTTTGATAATGTTTTAATCGGATTACAACAATAACAAAAAAAAAAAAAAAAAAAAAAAAAAATAAATGGCACGCCACAACGTTACAGCAATCTTTAAAATAATAAAAAAAAAAAAAAATATGAAATAAAAAACAGAAAAAAATAATCCAAGGGAATAATAAATAATATGCGACTAGCAAATGGTGCGATAAAAGTTGGTACGATATAGCTAACAGCACATCGTTTCAGTATGCTTCCTGAGTGAGTATAAGGGTTGGCTTTAAAAAGGCGGCAGGAAAGGGGTGGGTCACGCGAAACTCGAGTTAAACTCGGGAACGGAGAAGGGTGAGGGTGAGGGTGAGGGTGGTAGTGGTGGGTGAGCCTTGTACAACTGGTTGACCATCGACACGCCACACATACACACTTTTCAACTATCTATTTCTTTCTATGGACAAACATATGCACAGTATACATCTACACATACATACATACAAATATACATACACCTGTATATATATATATATATATATATAAGGCGGATATAAGGAGTAAAGATCTGCACGCACGTAATACGTGTAAAGTTATGTTAATACGAACGAACAATACGTAGTAGGCGAGTGTCCAGAAACAGAGTAAGGGGGGAGGAGGGGAGAGAGAGGGGGGAGAGAGAGTAACCATAATCGACTATACGGCTTAGTATAGTAGAAGTGAATATATCGTACGTTGAATTCTTCGCGTGTTTAACGTACGAATCATTTGCATATTCAAGATCACGCTCTTATTATCATTCTCTCTCTCTCTCTCTCTTTCTTTTCCTTCGAAACACCTCGTATCTCTTGTGGTTTTTTTCTCGTTTCTTTTTTCTTTCCTGCTACTATAATTAAACTATCCGTTAAAAGAATGTATAATACCTAGTGAAATTAAAAAAAAAAAAAAAAAAAAAAAAAAATAAAA